GATATAGTGCGTGTTTTAGGGTTTATTGGTGTGTTTGTGGTGTAATGTGTTTCTTTTCTAAGTGAGTGTTTATTGTGTAGTGCGTATTTTTTGTTAGTGTGTCTTTTTGATGTACTGCGTGGTTTTTTTACCAGTGTGTGTTTTCCAGTGTATTTCTTATGTCATTCAATGTGTGTTTTCGATGTTGTACGTATTTTATTTTTCAATGTGTGTTTTTGGTGCAGTGTGTATTTTTTCCATTGTGTGTTTCTGGTGTGGTTTGTGTTTTTTTTAGTATGTGTTTTTGATGTATTGCGTGGATTTTTTTCCAGTATGTGCTCTCCAGTGACTTTCATGAGTAATTCAAAGAAAAAAAAAAGACAGACTAAACCAAAAACAAACACTTCAAAAAAAAGCACTACACGAAAACACACATAGAATAAAATGCACTACACCGTGAAACACACACTGGAAATGCAGTGTACTTTTTGAGTAAAACACAGACTACCTAAAAAATGCAAACTCAATTACACAAGAAGTACACTCAATTACACAAGAAGTACACTCATTTTCTGGTGGTTGTTTTTTTTTAAGTGTGTGTTTTTTGTGTATTGCGTGGTTTTTTTTCGGCGGTGTTTATTTTCTATTATAATTATTATGTAATTAAGCGTATGTTTTCGATATAGTGCGTGTTTTATTTTTCATTGTGTGTTTTTTGTGTAGTGCGTTTCTTTTCTAAGTGAGTGTTTACGGTGTAGTGCGTATTTTTTGTTAGTGTGTGTTTTTTAAGTACTGCGTGGTTTTTTTTCCATTGTGTGTTTTCCACTGTATTTCTTCTGTAATTCAATGTGTGTTTTCGATGTAGTGCGTATTTTATTTTCCAATGTGTGTTCTTGGTGCAGTGTGTATTTTTTCTAGTGTGTGTTTCAGGTGTGGTGCGTGTTTTTTTTTTCAGTATGTATTTTTGATGTACTGCGTGGGATTTTTTTCCAATACGTGTTTTCCACTAAAAGTTCATGAGTAATTCAAAGCGAAAAAAAACCACACACTAAACCAAAAACAAACACTTCAAAAAAACACGCACTACCCGAAAACACACATAGAATAAAATGTACTACACCGAAACACACACTGGAAATGCAGTGTACTTCTTGAGTAAAAGACAAACTACACAAAAAACGCACACTCAATTAAACAAGAAGTACACTCAATTTCTAGTGTAGTTTCACGGTGTAGTGCATTTTATTTAATGTGAGTTTTGGTGTAGTGGTTGTTTTTTTTTAAGTGTGTGTTTTTGGTGTAGTGCGTGGTTTTCTTTCTGGTGTTCATTTTCTATTGTAATTATTGTGTAATTCAGTGTATATTTTCGATATAGTGGGTGTTTTATTTTTCATTGTGTGTTTTTGGTGTAGTGTGTTTATTTTCTAAGTGAGTGTTTACGGTGTAGTGCGTATTTTTTGTTAGTGTGTGTTTTTTATGTACTACGTGGTTTTTTTTTCCAGTGTGTGTTTTCCAGTGTATTTCTTGTGTACTCCAATGTGTGTTTTGGATGTAGTGCGTATTTTATTTTTCAATGTGTGTTTTTAGTGCAGTGTGTATTTTTTCAGTGTGTGTTTCTGATGTGGTGCTTGTTTTTTTTTTTCAGTATGTGTTTTTGATGTGTTGCGTGGATGTTTTCTACTGAAGTTCATGAGTAATAGAAAGCGAAAAAAAAACCACACACTACACCAAAAACAAATACTTCTAAAAAACCACGCACTACACGAAAACACACAAAGAATAAAATGATCTACACCCTGAAACACACATAGGAAATGCAGTGTACTTCTTGAGGAAAACACAGACTACATAAAAACGCACACTCAATTACACAAGAAGTACACTCAATTTCTAATGTGAATTTCACGGTGTGGTGCATTTATTTAATGTGTGTTTTGGTGTAGTGGTTGTTTTCTATTAAGTGTGTGTTTTTTGTGTAGTGCGTGGTTTTTTTTCGGGTGTTTATTTTCTATTGTAACTATTGTGTAATTCAATGTATGTTTTCGATATAGTGCGTGTTTTATTTTTCATTGTGTGTCTTTTGTGTAGTGTGTTTCTTTTCTAAGTGAGTGTTTACGGTGTAGTGCATATTTTTTGTTAGTGTGTGTTTTTTATGTACTGCGTGATTTTTTTTCCACTGTGTGTTTTCCAGTGTATTTCTTGTGTAATTCAATGTGTGTTTTCGATGTAAGGCGTATTTTATTTTTCAATGTGTGTTTTTAGAGCAGTGTGTATCTTTTCCAGTGTGTGTTTCTGGTGTGGTGCTTTTTTTTTTCAGTATGTGTTTTTTATGTGCCGCAAAGATTTTTTTCCAGTACGTGTTTTCCAGTGAAGTTCATGAGTAATTCAAAGCGAAAAAAAACCACACACTACACCAAAAACAACACTCAAAAAAACAAGGCACTATACGAAAACATACATAGAATAAAATGCACTACATCGTGAAACACATACTGTAAATGCAGTGTACTTCTTGAGTAAAACATAGACTATATGACAAACCCACATTCAATTACACAAGAACTATACTTGTGTGTTTCATAGTGTAGTGCATTTTATTCAATGTGAGTTTTGGTGTAGTGGTTGTTTTTTTAAGTGTGTGTTTTTTGTGTAGTGCGTGGTTTTTTTTCGGGTGTTTATTTTGCTATTGTAATTGTTGTGTAATTCAGTGTATGTTTTCGATATAGTACGTGTTTTATTTTTCATTGTGTATTTTTTATGTAGTGTGTTTCTTTTCTAAGTTAGTATTTAAGTGTAGTGCGTATTTTTTGTTAGTGTGTGTTTTTGATGTACTGCGTGGTTTATTCAATGTGTTTTTGGTGCAGTTTATTTTTTCTAGTATGTGTTTTCCAGTGTAGTTCATGAGTAATTCAAAGTGTAATAAACCACACACTAC